GAGAGAGAGAGAGAGAGAGAGAGAGAGAGAGAGAGAGAGAGAGAGAGAGAGAGAGAGAGAGAGAGAGAGAGAGAGAGAGAGAGAGAGAGAGAGAGAGAGAGAGAGAGAGAGAGAGAGAGAGAGAGAGAGAGAGAGAGAGAGAGAGAGAGAGAGAGAGAGAGAGAGAGAGAGAGAGAGAGAGAGAGAGAGAGAGAGAGAGAGAGAGAGAGAGAGAGAGAGAGAGAGAGAGAGAGAGAGAGAGAGAGAGAGAGAGAGAGAGAGAGAGAGAGAGAGAGAGAGAGAGAGAGAGAGAGAGAGAGAGAGAGAGAGAGAGAGAGAGAGAGAGAGAGAGAGAGAGAGAGAGAGAGAGAGAGAGAGAGAGAGAGAGAGAGAGAGAGAGAGAGAGAGAGAGAGAGAGAGAGAGAGAGAGAGAGAGAGAGAGAGAGAGAGAGAGAGAGAGAGAGAGAGAGAGAGAGAGAGAGAGAGAGAGAGAGAGAGAGAGAGAGAGAGAGAGAGAGAGAGAGAAGAAGAAGAAGAAGAAGAAGACAACGACAACGAAGAGATGAAGAAAAAATCAAGAGGGAAGGGAAGGAAATAATTTTTTGCAAGATTATTTCTCAGATAAATCTATAAATTTATCTTGCACTGTTCAACAATAATGTGAATTTTCTGAAGTCCTAAATGAGAAGGAATCTCATTGTATCTCCATCATTACGTGACATATCCAATGTTACATGGTACGGGCAGCGATACAGTACGGGGTTCGCTAGTTTCTATGATACGAATTTGTTAGGGGGTAGGCATAGTCGGTGCAGTGTTTGAAGTCGTAGTTTGCTCAAGAGTTTAATTTGGGTTGTCGTTAATTTTTCAATTTGTTGAAAATCAAATTGTTTCCTGCAGCATAATAAATGTCATAATTTTCAACTTCAATTTATTTTTTTTTATACTTAATTTGGTCTATTTATTTTGCACAGCTCCCAATTACTTGTATTAAATGGAGACCTCTCCATAGATACATCTTCCCCTTGAAAATTAAAGCTGACACAACATCCCAAGCACCTCCCTCTTTCACATTCTCTAGGTTTTTTTCTTCTAATTGAGTACTGTAAAACACGACAAATCAAATTATACATAATTTAGACATATAAATTTCAATCCCATCCAGTATTGGTGATACTATATGAGGTAGTTAGTATCCCATCCAGTGTTGGGTGGCAAACTTTGATGAAATCAATATTTAGGGTGTCTCTCTATACAAACCACAGTTTTTGTTTTATTACAACCTACGCAGATGTTGGGTGGCAAACTTTGAGGAAAACCTACGTTTGGTGGTGATGAGAAGAGAGAGACCAGAAATTTTGTTCACTTATAGAGAAACAGTTTGAAAGGAAAACCAACAAAGAAATTAAATTCCCATGCATTCTAGAATGCAATTCCAAATTCTAATCCTGTAAGGCTTTCTCCACCAGTTTGGTGTACTTCAGAACCAATAGATTGAATGAAACATGCTTAGCTAGTGCTAGTAGCCATTGGACATAACTGTCGTTCATTCTTTATTCATGTACTATCATTGCAGGTAAACTTTTCAGATAAAAGCTAAGATACACTATCTATCACTAACATTATTAACCATCTAAATGCATACCATGATATGTTAAAAATTCTAATTCACAAAATACCTATCTATACAAAATATTCTCTTGCCATACTGTCATTCAGCAACATGTAACATGTCAAATTCTCTGCCTCTGAAACGTTATTGTATACATAATACATGCATACATACTTTCATCACACATATATAAAGATTGGGAAGACAGAGGACAAACCAGCAGTCGCCAAGCATTCCGAGAACCGCTCCAAGCTGAGAACACAACTCTGACGTGTTACCCATAGTTTCTAACTGACCTCTGATGTCTTCTGCACAAAGACTAAGTCTTGATTTGGCACTTTCTATATTCTGGGCTCGGAATGCCTACACAGTGGGCAATAAATAACAGCACCAAAAGTTAACACAGCAAATTAAGAAAAGAAATGCAAAACCATGAATTCAAATCAAAGGCAAAACTACACTGACCCTCATTGCTTGCTGCACCAAGAAAGCCCCTCTCTCCAAAGACACGTCTTCATATATAACTCTCTTGCTATTATTATTATCATCATTGCTGTTGCTTTCAGGGGTTGAATCTTGTTTATCCTCTGCATTATGAGACCTCTTGATTCTTGCATGACCTTCGATAAAGCGATCCACCAAATTCTGAAGATTGGTGTCGGCTTCGATCTTCTCAATGTCAGCTCCACACAAAGGACAGTCCTTGAATCTTGAAATACAAGCTCTAAAACAACAATTAACTAAATTACAAATAAAAATTAAGAAACCCAATACAAAAGATTAATGAAAAATTCAATACAAACAAGTAATTGAAAAAAATAAAAGAAACCCAATACAAAAAATTAACGAAAAATTCAAAGGGAAGCATGGTTTACTTGCAGAACGAGTGAGAACAAGGGACGCATTTGGCAGAGTCGAACAGAAGGGCGTGGCATATGATACAGCTGAGAGGGCCAAGCTTGAATGTCTGAGAATCGTAACCCAAGGGGCATTTAGGGGAAATTGTAGCGGTGTCAGCTGAGGTCTCTTTCTTGCTTGGCTCTGATGGCCGAGCGGCTTTCACAAATGGGCAAACTGGCCTCATCTTCTTCTTCCTCCTCCTCTTTCTATCAATTATTCAATTCTGGTGCTTCAATTTTGATTTTGATGAGCCTTGCAAGTTTTCTTTAGCTCCAGATACGACGACGTTTCAGCTCCTGTTGCAGCCTTGCTCGACTTGATCGTCTTGGAATTAAGAATGCTGACTGGTGGTGAGGTGATTATCCTCTCTGCCCTCTGCCTAGTTTATCCTAAGATTTCTGTGCAACACCTTTCCCATATTTTTTTTTTCTACAAAAACCCCCCTAAAGTTTTCTGTTTCTCCAACTACAGATAGGGGTGTACAAAATTCTATCCAATTCGTCCAAACCGACTAACCCAATTCAATTCAATCCAATTTTAATCGGTTTTGAAGATTTGGCTGGCTAGATTGAATCTGTAATTTTCAAAACCGATATGATTAGATTGAATGACGGATTTGCTTATGAGAATCCAATCTAATCCAATCTAGTTAGTTTTATGCTTATTTTACTTTTGTAGGTATTTATCGTTAAAAAAATTATGAATATTTAAAGTCATTTAATGGAGTTATGTTTAATATATTACACAATCAAAATAATTTTCTCTAATATTTCATTTTTACATTTGTGTCTATGAAAATGTTTGATTATATTAAATGGTATACTGCCGAATTGCCCCCTGAACTTGTACATAACTCTCAATTTACCCCCCGACCTTTTTTTTAGCGAATTAAAGGCTTGAATTAAATTTTATTATCAATCTTACCCCCACCGTCAAAATTCGAACATTTCATCCATTAATTCGTCTATTTGACCCACGTTGACTCTTTGTTGAGGGTTAATTTTGTCATTCAGCGCGGATTGAATTAGCAACCTCTCTCACACACTTCGCACATTGCTTTTAGATTGGTAGGGTTAGAAAGGTACTGAATCGAGGGTGGGAAAAAGGACGAAATTGAAGGTTGGAGAGAGACGATATCGAGGGAATCTGAAAGCTTTTTCATAAAGCTTCTTTTGGCTCTGTTGATTCGACGCAACATGAGTCTGGATGTGTTGCCTCTACAGGTGCAGAACAAGGGGCCTCCTCCCAAGTACAGTAAGTAATCGCTTTTCCCAATTTGAAATTGTTTAAGTTTGTGTGGTCCTTGGTCTGTCAGTTGTTTGTACATTTTGTGGTGTTGTCTGATATGCTTTTTTGAATATGAAATACTTGTGGTCCCGAAGCATTTGTGTTGTTTTGTCTGCATAATTGTCGGTGGACCTGAGTCAATTTCAAGTTTAGAATGGTAGTTGGGCAGTAAAGATAATCTGGTGTGATAAAATAGTGGTTTTATATATCATTTTTTGTTTTGTTTAGGTGATCTAGATTTGTTCTCCCTAGAAATTCAACATGGAGGTTATATTTTAGAGGGGAAGTATGTTCGGAGTAAGGTTACATGGGCAGACAACTGTAATGCTGACCACTTGTCAATGCTTGACTTGTTTGATGTTGCTATATGTTTAGGATATGACCATAAAAAAATACAGTACCACTACTGGAACAAAAGAAGGGGGTTTGTTCCAATTGAAGTAAATGCCCATGTAGTTGAGTTTGTGGAGCATCATCTACCTCTAGAGTTCAACCTTTATATCTCTCATATAAGCATCAACCACATTTCCCAGAGAGCCAGGCATCTGCATCTACTCCACAACTGGGGTTGGAAGTAGAAGTTGAAACTAAAACTGATGTTGGTGAGTTGGGGAACCAGTTTGTAGAAGTGGATGTTGATTTAGATGATGATGGTGATGATGAGGCAAATAATGAGGGAGATAATGAGGCATATGACAGTGAAGATGATGAAGCTGAAGATGATGATAGTGGAGAAGAGGCTGAAGATGATGATAGTGAGATAGACATTGAGTTGATTGACTCTGAGTTTGAGCAGTCAGATGAAGAAGGGTTGAAGACAGTCTTGGAAGAGGATGATAACTTGTTTGATAAACATGTAGTTGATGAAGAAAATGAAGAATACAATGAAGAACCTGGTGAGGTTGACAGTGAAGACTACAATACCGACAAACTTGTAAGTCTTGATGAAGAATCTGATGAGGATGAAGTTGTGAAAAACCGTAGCCGTAGAAGAAAAGCTCCTAGGTTTAAGCAGTTTAGAAGAGAATCTGATTTTCTGAAGCCAAAATTTCATTTGGGAATGGAATTTATGAACATGGAGCAGTGTAGGGAAGCAATAAGGTATTGTGCAGTTTCATGTGCAAGGGCATTGAAGCGGGTGAGGAATGATTCGTATAGGGTGAGGCTCAAATGTGAAGGAGATAATAAACAAAATGTTCCATGTCCATGGATGCTGTATGCTTCTTGTTGCGTCGATTCAGCTGCACCAAAATGGATTCAGCTGCATCCTCAACTTGTGATACTCGCAAGTGCACGAGCCGTTTGGTAGTATAGCATATGTAAGTGCGAGGTCGATCCCACGAGGATTGGTGATTGAATGATCCAATTCATTTTCCCTACACAAAACAGAAATGAAAAAGAAAATAAATAAAACAAGAAAAATGAAATAACTCAAGCAAATAAGTTCCCAAGTTCAATTAGATTAACGGATTGATTCTAGCTAAAGTATGATTAAGCCATGGTGTTTGGTCATAACCTTGTGTTCCTAATTCCCTAATTTGATCATTTGTTGTCTAACCTAAAATTAAGCATTAGGAACTGTTAAGCTCATAATTTCATAAATATACATGCCCTATTTACTTACTTCTTTTGCTTAGTTTCCTATAATTCT